ACAGGGGGAAGGAGCCGAGGACAGGGGGAAGGGCAGGGACGGGGGGGTGAGCAGGGGACAGGTGGGAGGTGAGCAGGACAGGTGGGGGGTGGGCAGGGACAGGTGGGGGTGAGCAGGGGACAGGGGGGAGTGAGCAGGGGACAGGTGGGGGGTGAGCAGGGGACAGGTGGGGGTGAGCAGGGACAGGTGGGGTGAGCAGGGGACAGGTGGGGGGTGAGCAGGGGACAGGTGGGGGGTGGAGCAGGGACAGGTGGGGGGTGAGCAGGGGACGGGTGGGGGTGAGCAGGGGCGGGTGGGGTGGGCAGGGGACGGGTGGGGAGTGAGCAGGGGACAGGGTGGGGGTGAGCAGGGGACAGGTGGGGGTGAGCAGGGGACAGGTGGGGGGTGAGCAGGGGACAGGTGGGGGTGAGCAGGGACAGGTGGGGGTGAGCAGGGGACAGGTGGGGTGAGCAGGGGACAGGTGGGGGTGAGCAGGGACAGGTGGGGGTGAGCAGGGACGGGTGGGGGTGAGCAGGGGACAGGTGGGGGTGAGCAGGGGACGGGTGGGGGTGAGCAGGGACAGGTGGGGGTGGAGGCAGGGGACGGGTGGGGGTGAGCAGGGGACAGGGTGGGGGTGAGCAGGGGACAGGTGGGGGTGAGCAGGGGACAGGTGGGGGTGAGCAGGGGACAGGTGGGGGGAGTGAGCAGGGGACGGTGGGGGTGAGCAGGGGACGGTGGGGGGTGTGAGCAGGGGACAGGTGGGGGGTGAGCAGGGGACAGGTGGGGGTGAGCAGGGGACAGGTGGGGGTGAGCAGGGACAGGTGGGGTGGAGCAGGGGACAGGTGGGGGGTGAGCAGGGGACAGGTGGGGGTGAGCAGGGACAGGTGGGGGGTGAGCAGGGGACGGGTGGGGGGTGAGCAGGGGACAGGGTGGGGGGTGAGCAGGGACAGGTGGGGGTGGGCAGGGGACAGGTGGGGGGGTGAGCAGGGGACAGGTGGGGGTGACAGGGGACAGGTGGGGGTGAGCAGGGGACAGGTGGGGGTGAGCAGGGGACAGGTGGGGGTGAGCAGGGGACAGGTGGGGGTGAGCAGGGACAGGTGGGGGAGTGGGCAAGGGGACAGGTGGGGGGTGAGCAGGGGACAGGTGGGGGTGAAACAGAGGACAGGTGGGGGGTGAGCAGGGGACAGGTGGGGGTGAGCAGGGGACAGGTGGGGGTGAGCAGGGACAGGTGGGGGAGTGAGCAGGGGACAGGTGGGGGTGGGCAGGGGACAGGTGGGGGTGAGCAGAGGGGACAGTTGGGGGGTGAGCAGGGGACAGGTGGGGGTGAGCAGGGGACAGGTGGGGGGTGAGCAGGGGACAGGTGGGGGTGAGCAGGGGACAGGTGGGGGTGAGCAGGGGACAGGTGGGGGTGAGCAGGGGGACAGGTGGGGGTGAGCAGGGGACGGTGGGGGTGAGCAGGGGACAGGTGGGGGTGAGCAGGGACAGGTGGGGGTGGGCAGGGGACGGGTGGGAGTGAGCAGGGGACAGGTGGGGGGGTGAGCAGGGGACAGGTGGGGGTGAGGCAGGGGACAGGTGGGGGGTGAGCAGGGGACAGGTGGGGGTGAGGCAGGAGGACAGGTGGGGGGGTGGGCAGGGACAGGTGGGGGTGGAGCAGGGACAGGTGGGGGTGAGCAGGGGACAGGTGGGGGGGGTGAGGCAGGGGACAGGTGGGGGGGTGAGCAGGGGACGGGTGGGGGGGTGAGCAGGGGACAGGTGGGGGTGAGCAGGGGACAGGTGGGGGAGTGAGCAGGGGACAGGTGGGGGGTGGAGCAGGGACAGGTGGGGGTGAGCAGGGGACAGGTGGGGGGTGAGCAGGGGACAGGTGGGGGTGAGCAGGGGACAGGGGGAGTGGGCAGGGACAGGGGAGGTGAGCAGGGGACGGCGGGGGTGAGCAGGGGACGGGTGGGGGGAAGGGACGGTGGGGCAGAGCAGGGACGGGTGGGGGTGAGCAGGACGGGTGGGGTGAGCAGGGACGGGTGGGGTGACAGGGACGGGTGGGGTGAGCAGGGGACGGGAAGGAGCAGGGACGGTGGGGGTGAGCAGGACGGTGGGGAAGGACGGTGGGGTGAGCAGGGGACGGTGGGGGTGAGCAGGGGACGGGTGGGGGTGAGCAGGGACGGGTGGGGTGAGCAGGGACGGGTGGGGGGGGAGCAGGGGACGGTGGGGTGAGCAGGGACGGTGGGGGTGAGCAGGGACGGAAGGAGCAGGACTGTGGGGGTGAGCAGGGACGGTGGGGTGAGCGGGGACGGTGGGGGGAGCAGGGGACTGGTGGGGGTGAGCAGGACGGGTGGGGGTGAGCAGGGACGGGGTGAGCAGGGGACTGGGGGTGAGAAGGGACGGGGGTGAGAAGGGGACGGGGGTGAGAAGGGGACGGGGGTGAGAAGGACGGGGGGTGAGAAGGACGGGGTGAGAAGGGACGGGGAGAAAGAAGAGGACGGGGAGGTGAGCAGGACAAAGTGAGCAGGGGACGGGGCGGAGCAGGACTGGGGGAGCAGAATGGGTGAGCAGGACGGGGTGAGCAGGGACGGGGGTGAGCAGGGACGGGGTGACAGGGGGTGGAGCAGGACGGGGGTGAGCAGGGACGGGGTGAGCAGGGACGGGGGGTGAGCAGGACGGGGAGCAGGACGGGGGCAGAGCAGGGACGGGGGTGAGCAGGGACGGGGGTGATAGGGACGGGGTGAGCAGGGACGGGGGTGAGCAGACGGGGGGTGAGCAGGGACGGGGGTGAGCAGGGACGGGGGGGTGAGGGGATTGGGGTGGGGAGCAGGGACGGGGTGAGCAGGGACGGGGGGTGAGCAGGACGGGGGTGGAGCAGGGGACGGGGGTGAGCAGGGACGGGGGTGGAGCAGGGACTGGGGTGGAGCAGGGACGGGGGTGAGCAGGGGACGGGGGTGGGGAGCAGGGACGGGGGTGAGCAGGGGACGGGGGGTGAGCAGGACGGGGGAGCAGGGACTGGGGTGAGCAGGACGGGGTGACAGGAAGGAGCAGGGGGGAGCAGGGGAGCAGGGGGGGAGCAGGACGGGGGTGAGCAGGATCGGGGGTGAGCAGGGACTGGGGAGCAGGGACTGGGGTGAGCAGGGACGGGGGGTGAGCAGGGACGAGGAGAGGACGGGGTGAGCAGGACGGGGTATAGGATTGGGGTGAGAGGACGGGGTGAGCAGGGACGGGGTGAGCAGGGACGGGGTGAGCAGGGACGGGGTGAGCAGGACGGGGTGAGCAGGGATCAAGGAGCAGGGACGGGGTGAGCAGGGACGGGGTGAGCAGGGACGGGGGTGAGCAGGGACGGGGGGAGCAGGACGGGGGGGAGCAGGGACGGGGGAGTGACTGGGGAGCAGGGACGGGGGGAGCAGGGACGGGGGAACAGGGACGGGGGGGGGAAAGGACGGGGAGCAGGGACGGGGGAGCAGGGACTGGGGGAGCAGGAGGGGGAGAGGACGGGGGTGGGACAGGACGGGGGGAGGCAGGACTTGGGAGCAGGACGGGAGCAGGGACGGGGAGCAGGACGGGGGAGCAGGGACGGGGAGCAGGGACGGGGAGCAGGACGGGGGAGCAGGACAAGGGGACGGGGGAGCAGGGGACGGGGAGCAGGGGACGGGGGGGAGCAGGGACGGGGGAGCAGGACGGGGGGAGCAGGACGTGGGAGCAGGATCTGGGGGAGCAGGGGACTGGGGAGCAGGACGGGGAGTATTGGGGACGGTTGGGGAGCAGGATGGGGAGCAGGGGATGGTGGGGAGCAGGTGGGGGGGGTTGGGGTGGGGGGGTTTTTGTTTTGTGGGGGTGTTTTGTTTGTTTTGTTGTTGGGATGGGGAGCAGGGATGGGGGGGTGGATGGGGGAGCAGGGGCGGGAGGTGAGGTGACAGTGTCTGGTGTTTGTTTATTTATTTGAGATATGATTTGACAGTTGGCACTGAAGGCCTGGGTGTTTATTTATCATTACTTAAGTGACTAAGCTCTTCTCATAATTTGCCACCCAAACGACCTGGGTGAATATAACTTACATTGCTGGGATCGTAAGATTGTGATTTATTTGAATACCTGTATATACAAGCTATATTTGCACAGACATATTATGGATATATAGTTACTGTACTGTATCATTATCCGCCTGGCAGCACAATCTATAAGAATACGCGATGCATACGTGACGCAAACGTGACTGCGCCCACTCTAGGGACATTTAGGTTTGCTACATCCCATTATTTCAATGTTTTTCAATTAATTACTTTGATAGAGAAAGCGGATCCTAGTGCTGTCACTTGGTACCCTGGTACTATAACACCAGAAGCAATCTGCTGTAACTAAGTATATACAGTACAGTCATCCGGTTATCACATCTCCACTGGGACCCCGCCGAGTGCGTGATAACGAAAAATCGATAATGAAAGTAAAGAACCTATGGGATTTATTCTAATTGGTTCCAGGCACCCAAGACCCAACCACAAGTTTCCCAGACGGTTATGCAATCGGACGTTGTTCTGGACGTTAACCGGCGCATGACTACATGTACAGTATTCTTATGGGAAAATTATGTTTAATTTAGCCGTATTTGAATTGTGCGTTGGTTTTCAAAAACGTAACCCCCTGCGTAAAACGAGAGGTGGGTGTATACTGCATATAACTGTTGAAAGATACCAAATTAAACTTTATGAGTGACATTAACATTGTGATGGTCCCAATTAGGCCTTATTCCTATTAATTCTTATGGAAATTAATTCCCCTTAATAAGTGGTTTCATTATCAGTGGCTTTTTTTGGTTCCTATTAACCAAATTCTGATTGGAAGTTTCTGGACATGGTGACATCATTTATTTGGGCAACTGTTCCTTTAGCCAATGATAATTATGTTACCACTGGAATAATACACATCAATATTACAATCATCACACCTCTGAAGACATCCTAGCATGGTATTTCTGTAAAACTAAATAAGTATTAAGCAAACAGTTTACCAAATATTAAACTAGCAACTTTCCTTCAACATACCTTGTAACAAGATCTTTTATTGCCTCCTCTTGGAAGATTTATTGGCAGACCAAACTTGTTCTGTAACTCTCCCCAACCTCCAACACTTGAGCTAGGAACTGTTGTAAAAGGTAACAATGATAAAATAATCAATTGCATTTGTCATTTCATATACCACAAAATAAATTCATCTACTTTTGTCACATTTACTACAGTAAAAGTCCAAAAATCCGGATGCAAGAAACCCGAACCATCCGAGAATCCGGAATTTTCGAAAACTATTTTTTTTTAGCGGGCTTTTGTGTGTATGTGCGCATGCGTGAGCGCCACAGCTGCACAGCGACCACGTGGTCACCACTTTAAAACGAGCAATCAAACTGTGACAACATACCGTATATACAGCTAGACCCCGACTTACGACCACCGCAGTTGTGACCAATTTTTTCCCCCCCAAATGACTCACGCATTTTCTATACCGAAACGTTTCCAGTTAATGTAGTCTCAATGTATAATTAGAAAATTATGGGGGCCCCATGTGCATTCAGCTGACTACATTAAAGGTAAGTGCTCAGTCACACTGTATCCATTCCTCATTATTTATTACTTTCACTGTACTGTATCCATTTCTCATTATTTATTACTTTTACAGTACTGTATTTCATTGCAGATTTTTTTTTTTTTTTATCTATGTCGGACTTACGACCATTCGGACTTACGACCTGGATTTGGGTCCCTAACCCCGTCGTAAGTCGGGGTCTAGCTGTACTCGTCTATAACCCCCCCTCGTTTATCGGTCGACCCTGATTTTTTGACCAAGAAATCGTTAATTTATGATAATCCTCGTTTATAATTCGACCCATGTTTTTGAGGGTAATGGAACAACAAAACCTTCACTAAAAACGCTCTACGTCCTATAAACTGAGGCTCGCCGTGCCTGAAACACGAGTGCCGAAGGCAAATTGTTTACCATTTATTATTACGACACTTTACACTGAAACGCGGGTAGTTACAACAAAAATAGTGTATATTTCCATTCAAGTATTTATTCAAGTCAATTAGGAGGGAATATTATTGTAATAACAGTTTTTTAACTAAACCATTCGAAAAGCGATTACGGTAACATCTTTTGAACGAAAGAATGCGAAAGTCATTGTTTTCGTCACGATTTTATCCCACTTTCCACTGTAATACGTACGTAATTTCAGCAAAAAATATTACATTTCCATGAATGTATTATATCAAGCACAGTATGAATAGAATATCATTGTAATATAACAGAATTTTAACCGAAAACTATTAAAAAACGAATAACATCTCAAGAACATCGGAAGGTTAGGTAAAGTCTTTTGTTTTCGTCATGTATTTTATCCTATTTTACATTGAAATACATCACGTTTCAGCAAAACTACTATTTATTTCCGAGAATATATTCATTCAGGCGCAGTTTAGGTAAAATATACGTGTGATGTAATAGTTTTTTAACTAAAAACAATTCGAAAAACATGTACCCTCAAGCCCTGTTCAAGGAGAGGACTGGGAGAAGCTGTTTGGTGCTGCAGACGATGACAAGGAAAATGATTTTGATGGAGTTTAATGAATAAATTCAGAAATATGGTTTCGTAGTATTTATTCAAGTCAATTAGGATAGAATATTATTGTAATAACAGTTTTTTTAACTGAAAACCATTCGAAAAGCGATTACGGTAACATCTTTTGAACGAAAGAAAGCGAAAGTCATTGTTTTCGTCACGATTTTATCCCACTTTCCACTGTAATACGTACGTTCAGCAAAAATATTTAATTTCCGTGAATGCATTATATCAAGCACAGTATGAATAGAATACCATTGCAATATAACAATATTTTGAGTCCTACTCTTTCAATTTACAGAGTACTGTACAAGCCCATAATAATGGCTCCTAAAGTAGATAAACTTCGTTGTGTGAAGAGAAAGAAGAACAAGTTGAAATTGAGTGATAAACTTGAAATAATTAAGAAACTATAACGTGGTGTGAGCAATACTGTTCTAATGGAAACATACGACATTGGAAAGTCTACAATTTATGATATAAAAAAGGCGAAGAATAAAATTATAGAATTCACAGCTTTTTCATTAAAACTACTCGTTTTGATAAATGAAGCATGCTATATTTGCTCATGAAAAAACTAACAAAATGTACCTGTTCATCTCTTCTTTATTCCTCCTTAAATTTGAATTTTAAAAGTACTGCCTAAGAATCCGGAAAATCCGAAAATCCGGACCGACCCAATCCCCAAGCAGTCCGGATTTTTGGACTTCTACTGTAGTTGCTTTTATCCTCTTCGCCTCTAATCGGCTAATTAGCATTTGGAGAGATGATTCTGTACACAAGCCATTTTATATACTGTAGTGTGCAGATTTTTTATTACATACACAAGTATACATATGGTTATTTAGTATGCACATACCCTGTATAAGTAAATGAAATATGCACAATAAAACTACAGTAGAACCCCGCTTAACGCGGTCAACTGAACCCACAGGGTACCGTGTTAAGTGAAAACCGCGCTAAGTGAACAACAGAACATATGGGATTAATTCCAATAGAAACTGGCCCGACCCCCAAACTCCACTTTTTCCGACACAATACCTATGTTCTAGTAAAAATAACATCTTAATTTTATGATGGTACATGCACACAATTAATACTTAAGAGAAATAGAGAAATACAGTCGCCAAGTTAATGTCCATTCAAATAATGGACTCAACTCCCTCCCCCTCTTCTCATACTACACTGCTGGCTCTTCCCTCTCTGAGAAATTTTGGGGGGAAAACCACTAAATTTTAATAAATAATACCTCAAAATAAAGTTAGGATAATACAATTGACATTGCTGGATTCCTTGTAAGACCAGTAATATTTTGAATATAAATGTCATATATTTTGCACAAAAGATAACATATTGACTCCGAGTAAACATTATATCTAAAATTTGTATGTCTAATGCAAAATCTATGATGTTTATATTCAAAACGATCACCAAATTGTAAGAATTCCAGCAATGTAAATTATATTCTGGCCGGGTAATTTGTATGAATTTTAATGAGCTAAAACAAATATCTTCAGTTAATAGAAAAAAAATATTCTTCACAACACTATCTGTCAATCAAAGTACCCCACCTTGCCTCCCCCCTCTTCCAATCGCGTGGTCCATCCCAACCCTCCCCCCAACCCCCCACCAATCCTCCCTTCAAGAGATGTTGGGTGAAAAAACTAAATTTTAACATTTAGTATTAAATAATACCTCAGATTAAAGTTAGGATAATATAATTGACATTGCTGGATTCCTTGTAAGACCAGGAATATTTTGAATATAAATGTCATATATTTTGCACAAAAGATAACATATTTACTCAGAGTAAACATTATATCTAAAATTTGTATGTCTAATGCAAAATCTATGATGTTTATATTCAAAATGATCATCAAATTATAAGAATTCCAGCAATGTAAATTATATTCAGACCGGGTAATTTGTATGAATTTTATGAGCTAAAACAAATATCTTCAGTTAATAAAAAAAAAAAAAAATATTCTTCACACGGTAACAGATGGTCGGTCGGTCCCTCCCTCCCCTCACCACCAACCCTCCCTACCAGATGTGTGGGAAAACCAGAATATTTACCTTTTTAGTAATAAATAATACCTCAAACTAAGGTTAGGTTAATATAATTGACATTGCTGGATTCCTTGTAAGACCAGGAATATTTTGAATACAAATGTCATATATTTTGCATAAAAAATAACATATTTACTCAGAGTAAACATTATATCTAAAATTTGTATGTCTAATGCAAAATCTATGATGTTTATATTCAAAATGATCATCATATTGTAAGAATTCCAGCAATGTAAATTATATTCTGGCCGGGTAATTTGTATGAATTTTATGAGCTAAAACAGGCAGGCAGGCAGGGTGGCGGGTGGGGCGAATCTAAAAATAGCTCTCGAGCCGGACACTCTGTGGGTATACGTGGAAAAAACCCGTGGAAAAAACCCGCGTTAAGTGAAAGTTCAGCTCTGGCAAGGCACCGCGTATACGTGAAATCGCGCTAAGCGAAACCGTGTTAAGCGGGGTATTACTGTATACAAATAAATTTTCAAAATAAAGTATGATTATAACTTAAGTACTGTAATGTACAATTACATTTCATCAAAATAGGCATACAGTACTACATGCAAAACAGAGTATCAAGCTCACTTTGTATATTAACCAACTCCTGTACACAGCCACCAGAAATGTGGTAGAAACTTTACACACACACTGCCATAGGCTGTACCTTCTGAGGTATAATAACGTCCGATGCTATTAAAAAATAATAAATGAAAAATAAAATAAAAAAAGGCACTCCAGGCTTTTTTAGTAACAAACAACAGGAAATGGGCAGTGAAATCAGTCATCAAGATTGGTCTATTTTGGTGAATGTGAGAAATTGGTGCCATGGGATGTTGAAATTTCCAGTTGTAGTGCATACACTGTTTGGTTTTACAATGGAAAATTGGTGCCAAGTAGCATGATATACTACAATGCAAGAAAACAGTGATTGTGATTGATCCATTTTAATACCTTATCCTCTTCGCAACTTGTTAGCCGCGTATACAGTGATGCACTAAGGTAGTATGAGTTGCTATTCGCGGTTTTGCCAATTTGCGCCATTCCTTGGAACCTAACCCCAATGAATAGCAAGAGTTTACTGTATATAAAGCAATCTATTACCATACAATAAAATGTGTGGTTGTGGACTGAACAGCAGCGCATGGAAAATATGGTGGTTAAATTCACAAATTCAACATCTAAACTAAGAATTACTGTATGTACACATTTTAAGTTAAATTTTCATACATTTTTCACATTCACTTAAGAATATTTTGACTGCCTTATCGCAATGAATTTGTCCCATTAGTTCAGTCCCTTAAATTATTAAGTATTAATGTTGTTTTTAAGTATGACTCAACCATTACCAATATATTAATCAAGAAT